TACACCTAAAAGGTATAAATATAAACCTAAATATGGAATGTTTTTCATTTATTGAGTTGATAATAAAGACTTTTACAAATGTTTTTGCCAGTATATGCTAATATCCTTCAGGTTGTGTCAGGAAAATCAACAGTTTCAACACTTAACTGCAACTTTACCCGTCAGCAATTTATACAGTTATACTCGTTGACTATTCAAATGCGAACAAAAGCAGAAATATACATAGTTTCAGTTGCAAGTTGTGCAATCCCTTCATAGCCTTCACTTCGGAGCTGACAAACGCAGCACGATGATTTTCCATTGTTGCAGAACGGAAATTAAATCATTTCCGCTGTCAACTATCGGTGGCCCCTGTCATGCAACAGCTGTCAAATGAAAGGGCGACGATGGCTGCGTAAGCGATTGAAACCAAATCGGTGGAGATCTGCTCAAATTCCCATGACAAGTTGCAGTCTCTAAATTCAATAAATTGTCAAACATTCCAGAGGCAGAAACTGCCAGATGTCGAAATATAAGTGAAAAGTGGGATGATAGGTGGACAATGAGTGGATTGGTTGTTAAAAGGAAAAAGAGTTCAGTGGTAACTCAATGCAATTGAGTCGAATTGTGGTAACGTAAATGACAAGTTGTGTAAAACCTATAAAATATTATTAATAAAATATAAGTAGAAATTAAAATATAATACATAAAGAATAAGACTATTGTTTTATAAGATAATATTAATTATTAATCAACTTACTTTCAATAAAAATATGCTTAACCATCAAACCACATACTTTGGTTAAAATCCCCTTTTACCACGCTGTTGTCACAATTAAGGCCAGGATAATAAATACATTTTTAAAAGCAGATTAAATTGAAATCCAAAGAGCTTTTTTCAATTACTTAATAAATACGTACTCGCAATTAAAATCTGCTTGACCGCAAGCCACAACAATCCTTTCAGAACATTCCCATCCTTTTATCCTTTTTATACCCACTGTCGTCGCGTTTTGCTGCCATTGTTTGCTTTTGGCTTTTGAGTATTGTTGATGTTTCAGCGATGGCAGGCGCTTTGGTCATGTTTATTTTACTTAACTGACATTTTACTATGGCCTACGTGTGCAGCACCGTTCCCCGTATCCCGTCGCCAGCGACATTTTGGAGTCTTGTTTGTTCATCAATTGGCGGCCTGTCTATCGCCCCTTTCCCCTTGTCTCGGCCAGTTGACTGTTGGCGACCCCAAAAGCGTTAATTGAATTGCCTCTCTCGACACATGGGAAAATCGACAGCGTAAAGCTTTAAAAACTTGGCAGGAAAATAAGATAAACTGAAGTACATAGTAGTCAGTAAAGTCTCGAGTTACTCTGCGAAATAGTTGGGCGGAAAACTTTAAGTCTGCAAAGTTTTCAACTCGGGTAATGCATAAAAATATTTATTCAAAACAAAACTCCAACAGGTCCTGACGAAACTTTCTTCCTCTTGCTAACTGAATAATTGACAAAGTAAATAAGTTATTATGAAAGTGAAACAGAGTGAAAACAAAAACACAAGCGTTCGCAACCAAAGTGTGCAAATTAATCGAAAATTCGACAATATCAATTGGCTGACATCCTGCGGCCGTTTGGCGGCAGTAAAATCAACAAAATTGATTCCACAACTTCAAAACGAACAACAACAGCAGCCAAAAAATACAATTTACGTTACGCGGCTGAATTGCTCAAGTTTGACAAAATTCAATTCATTAAAACGGAGGGTTTAACATTCGCATTGCTGGCGGGCCCCATGGGCCAAGCGGCAAGTATGTGTCGATTTCGTGGTTGTCGCTACAAAAACAAGAACAAAAACAGTAAGCAGCAACAACAACAGCAGCAGCAACAACAACAACAACAACAGTATCAGCAACAGCAACAACAACCAACACCCACACATAGCCCTCAGATTCAACATCATTCTGAGATAATCCCAGCAACAACAGGTGAGAAAGTGGCAAAAGCGGCAAAAGGGACAAACTTTTGGTCATGTCTCGAATTTGCATAAATATTTTGTCACACAAACTTCAGAACAAACAAAACAAGAAAATACCAAGAGACCAAATAACCAAAAGAACAACCGTGCTTATTTCATACCCAGCAGCTCTTTCCTCCTTTCCCATTTAACTTCCGCTTTTCCGCCTTTCAGCTACCCAACATCGATCCGCCTGGCAGCAAAAAATTGTTCTCTTTTGCACATTTGCCAACTTTCAATTTGCATTTGGCTGCACTCAAAAGCAACAATGCCATTTACACACTGGTTCATATATGCAAGCGAGTGTGTGCAGATATATGGCATTGTATGCGCAATAATACTCTTTTTATTGGGGCCTTATAAATTACTGCTTGCCAAAGAATTTTTGAAGTAATATTTACTGAAGAAATGGGTCATATAAATGTTTAAAAGTGATATTCCATTGTTCTTCTTTTTTTATAAAATTCATTCTAATTATGTAAAGGTATTATAAATCAGATGAATTAATAAAACTGTCTAAAGAGGACTTTACTAAATAAATAAATAATGCACATTTCAATACACAAACCCAAACTGATTTAAGTGATGATAAAATTATGCCACAGACGACAAATTACCTGATCGTAAAGTGTTCCAAGCTAAACCCACATAACATTATCAGAATATATGTTACCTTCAAGTCGACTTACTCGCATTGGCTTTTCTACAATGTGAGTCAAATAAATGTCATCTTCAAAGAGTATTGAATTTGTTATCATATCTCAGCCAACTCTTGATCCTTGCCTTTCCCTGTTAAAAGTAAAATTCCATTACAAATGTTTTATAAAAATTTGCCATTCGCCTGACTCAGACGCGGTGGATAGAAGGGGGGATTTGGGGGCAAATGTAGGTTGAGGGGCCATATGAATGTCTTACATAAAGCTGACGCATCAAACCGCAGCAAAGTGTTGGCGGCAGCGGGGGAAAATGGAAAGCTGGGAAATCGGGAGGTGGATGTGGATGTGGAGGTGGCACAAACACCTCCCACACGTCTTTGTCAACTAGTCATATGACTTCGAGTGCAGGAAATAGCCAACGGAATTCAGGGGGGGAGTGGAGAAGTGTTGGAGCTCTGTGCCAAATGTTTTGCAGCAGCTTAAGCATGTTGCATGTTGGATGTGTGCGAGGCAAATGCAGCTTAAAAGATTAAATTCCCTCTCTCAAAAGGGGTGCATAACATGGGTGGCATGTGTGTGTCAGTCTTTTAGCCTTGCTATATATATAAATTCCCCACTGCAACACTAAGTAGCCGACTTCCAACTTATTGGCGAAAAACCAACGAAAAGTATCTAGAACCCGAGAGGGAAAAAGACCTTCAAGATGCTTAACATGGAAATTTATGTCTGCACAGCAATTTATGTTTAGGGGTTTTAAATCATGGGGGAAAAGCTGAAATTAATACTTAAGTGAATATTAAATGGAGAAGCGAAAAGTTAAAAGAAAAAGTAAATTTCCATTTAATTTTTTTTTTCTATAAATTTCAATGAATATAAAATACAAATTCAAAGAAATATATGTATATTTTGTGATGAAATTCATGTTGAACGTATATAAATTTAATGAAATAAATAAACCATTACAATTTGTATTATTACAAAAACAGATATTTCATATTAAACAAATACAAGCAAGCTTAATATAAGTCCCACACAAACATAAAAGCAAACACAATATAAAATATTTCCTTATCTACTTTAACTAAAAATAGAAAACTCTAATGTATTTAACGGAACAAAATATCCTTGGCCTTTATTGTATAGCAGCTTAGCCCCAAAGTCAAATTGTCAAGCGACAGGAACAAGTCGTCTGTTTATTTCTTTTGTGTGAGTCGAAAAGCAGCACATAAATCATATTTTCTATAGAATAAATAAGTCCGACACAAACAACGAAGGGGGGAAAAAGGAAGGAGAAGGAAGAAAGGAAGTCTTCGTTGGCATCCTTGAGACACTTATCAGTGGGTTACTCGTTGTCGTATTTATATCTATTTTTAGCACTTAATCAGGCGCTCAATGCTGCCATTACAGACGCCAGACACTCCCTCACATGCACACACATAAAGTCAATATTTCAGTGAAATTGCCAATATTTCCGGTTAATGTTAACTGAAACACTTTGGGGGCCTCAACTGTCAATGTTATTTATTGCGATACGCATACGCCACGTATGCCATGTGTGTATGTGCAGCAGCTGCGTGTGAGCGTCTGAGTGAATTCCCTTAAAAGTCGCTCCCTGACACTTAATTGTTCAAAGAAGGACTGAGACAGCACCAAATTGATGAGCTGAAAAAGCAATTGAACAAATTTATGTGATTTGCTTTCACAGCCAAATTGCTGAAATTGAAAAGAAAGCTTTTCCGCGGCGAGAAAGAAAGTCATGTCAGTTGCAAGGGGCATAGAGAGGGGCGTGGCTATGGTCACGTGCCAAGTGCGACTTCCCCTTAAGGATATGACCCATTTGCATTGCAAATGCTTCGTCAAGCGAGAAAAAGATGGAAAAAAAGCTCATAAAACTGTCAACACATGCAGCAGGCAAATTACACGTGGTGAAAAAAAGTGCTTTAAAACTATTATTTAAAAAGTACTTAAGCCTTAATAAATTTGAACACAATTTTTGTTTAAATTGCTTTAAAAATCAATATCCTGGAATATAACGAACTTTTTCAACAATTTTTCAATTCAAATTTATGCATTAGTTCTTAGAAACTGTCAAAACCAGACATTCCGCAACAAGTCTTGCTTTAATATAATTTAAGCAATAATGTGTTTTTATGATTCCAAATAAAGCACTCCATTAAGATATATTTCGAAAATATGGTACGCAAATGTTGCCTAACATTTTCATTTGAAATCCTTTTTTCTTTATATCAGTGTATAGGGACAGCAAACATGTTAGGAGGGCCATAAAAAAAAACAAATTTAAACTCCGCACAAAACGAATTAAATATTAATTTTTACATTACTCCTTCCTCGTTGCAGGCCTGCATTTGCGGAGCATCGAGGAGCCAGCGACGACGCCGCTCCAGTTCCAGGCGGCGGGCAGGATGAACGCGGAGCAGGGGGGCACGGGGTACGGCGGCGGCTACGGTTCCAGCGAGCACTCGCTGCTCATCGCCACACGCCACGCCGGTGTCCCCCTGCCCCCCGCCCACCAGCAGCCACTCCCCGCCCACTATCAGCCGCTGAGCCACTCCGGCGCAGCCCCACCCTCCTCCTCCGCCGCCACCATCTCCACATCCAATGGATCCTCCTCCGCCGGCGGCGGCGCACTTCAGTCGTCCTCCTTCCCGCAGCAACAGCAGCAGCAGCAGTATCCGGTGCCACCGCAGTACCAGTACCAGTATCAGTACCAGTACCAGCACCACTATCACCACCAGGCCACGTCGCCACAGCACCACAGGCCCTACGATCCGGAGCACGCGCGGATGGAGGCCTGGCTGGATGAGAATCAGGAATTTGTACAGGATTATTTTATAAGGTGAGTCGAGGTCTTGTCACCTATGTATACTTGGGATAATACGGAGCATAGAAACTTAAAAACTAAACCAGTCAGAAAATTAAAGATTTTAATTGATTACATAAAACTTGATAAAATGGTAAAATATTTTTACAATTTTTAAATTGGGATAGAAGTAAATGAAAAATAAATTCATGTCGACAGCACTTTTAGACACGGTTTGAAAATTTTTAAATTATAGGTATGTAGTAAATACTATATGCATTAGTTAAAACTTTTAAGCTGGTGTTTAGTTTAATATTTTACAGATGTATTAAAAACGAAGTAAAATCCGTTACAAGATATACAATTCTGTATTTAATTTCAAGGCCTTGTTAAAATAAAGTCCACCAAATTTAAGGCCCAACATTTCGAATTTCTCTTTGAACAACCGAATTGGCCAATCGATAACTCTTTCATTAGCCAAGACAGACGGAAAACTAACCGAATCCTTGTAGAGACATAAATTGCATCTGCCTACAAGCGTTTTCGATGAACCCATCGAGCCAATAATCTATTTTGCCCATCGAAGGGATAAATTCTTAAATTTGAAACTGCATTGTCAGTTGACCCTGCCGCACGGAAAACAATCGGCAATATTTATGGGCGGGTGTGGTGTGGAGCTGGTGGGGATTTGGCCATGGGCGGGGACAGCTCGTTTCCGCTATAAACCGGAAATTGCCTTTGCCACAGCAGGACATCTAGGCCAGGCCGGCAGCCAAGCGGGTTAAAGGACGTCAGTTGTCTATGACACATAATAAAAATCACTAACAACTAAAAGCATAAATTGGGCTTTATTTTCATGGTCGAGCAGGCCAACGTCCGCGTTGTTCTGTCCTCGGCTCCACAGCTCCTCCGGTTTTTGGCCTGCGGGGCGGTCATTAAACGAGGCTGAAAAAGGCTTCATTCCGTTGTGTGTGTACTTTGCATAAGAATATGCCGCATGTCCTAAACAGTTCCCCCATTTTTCCCTCCCCTTTGGCACCCTTCTTTAATGTGCCCTTTCACAGAGAGTTTTTATTTTTTTTCAAAGGGAAAAACGGAAGTGAAATGTTGGGATTGTAATATTTATATAAAAATGGTTTTACAAAAAATAATTGGTAATTTTGTTTGTATGACTTATATTCTTATTTTATTAAAATTTAAATATTACAATATCAATAATGTATTTTCAATAATACAATTTAAATTTTAAAATGCTTTTAAATATTTTTGCTTCCAACTTTCCGGAAACGCTACAATTGATGTGTTAAATGTTCTTCATTAGTATTTACAATAAATATCTTTAATTAGGTTAAAAATTTTAAATTGATAGAATATTTAAAATTTCGGCCCCGTTTTCTAATTTCCACTTACTCGACTCCCCAAAGAGTTGTGTGCTGTGATTGCCCGATGTTTTGTGGTGTTTGGTGAGGGTTTTATGCCAAAAGCGCGTGTCCATAAGGACACAAGCTGAGCAGGAGTAGGAGCAGCTGATGGCGGGTAGCCTTGCGGCCTGAATATTTATGAGTTGGCATTTTATTAGTGAATTTTATGCGGCACATGCATATAGCAAGCGGAGCCCAATGCGTCGGTCGACCAGCGGCAATTCATTTGCGATTTTTAATAAGGTTTTAATGTGTTTTCTAACGGAATTTTTCGCCATTTTTCCCGCAGGAAAGCCACACGTCAGACGGTGGATGCCTGGCTGGTCTCACATGCCACCTCGGCAGGCAACGATGTGGTCAGCAGCACCTCACCCACCCACGCCAACGGGCAGACGAGCTCCTCGAGGGGCGGATCCGGAGCCACCACACCAGTGCGGTAAGTAATCCAAAGGGGGTTAGTCCAATTAATATTGGATATAATTAGACTGGTTCTAAACCGATAGAATGTGCAATAAAAAGCCAATTGAAATTGTTCTCTAAAGTAAAATGCAAGAAAAAGTAAATTTCTATGAATTTAATTTGTTAATCAGTTTAAACGTTTTCTGTATTTTAAAAGTAACTGGTAAATATAGTCTCACCTTTTCTTAAAATCGTTGCGTGTCTTAACAGGATATCGTGAAAATGTTCATGTAAATAATAAATTATTTAGTTAAATAATCAGACCAAAGGGTTTTCAAATTAACTGACACTTTTTTTTTAAAAGTGTTTTATTCGGTTTTAAGGTTAATTTAACTAAGAAATATTCATTTCAAAATTATTTTCATTAGATTTTAGTATATAAATTTCAAAAGCTTCGAGTATTTTGTTCGATGAAGACTTTAAAAGAATATTTAAATGTATTATTTTATTACAATAAAGATAGAAACATCCCATACAAATATTGTAATAAATTTGTAACAATTTTATTTTTTAGAAAAATCTCCGCTCACGAATTTGAGCGCGGTGGCCTGCTTAAGCCGATTGTCAATACCATCGACGGCACGCCCACATTTTTGAGCATTGGTCCGCCGATGGACAACGGGGGCGTGGGCGGCAGCTGCGGCAATCTGCAGAATGTCGGCGGCGTTGTGGCCGGACAGTATCAGTATCACAATCAGCACAACCACCACAACCACCAGCATCTGCACCACAGCCAGCACAGTCATTATCAGGCGGGCGGAGCCGTTGGCAGCAGCAGTTTGGGCAGTTCCAGTGGCGTCGGTGGAGCGGGAGGAGCACCCGGACTGGGGGGCAGCGGTGGAGCCGGGAACGGCCATCAATATCAATATTATCAATGCCTCCAACGACCACAGCGGCTGTCACGCAACGAGCTGAAACAGCTTGACGAGAAGGAGTTGATTTTCGAATTGGTGAGTGAAAACTAATGTAATATCTTATATCGTACATTTTGTAAAACAATCAAACTTTCATTCAATTTAAAAGTTTCAATTGTTTTCTGCAAAATATTAGTCTAACTTTACATTTAAGTAACCCCTCAATTTTACACAGCTTTCACGAATACCATTTTTATAAATCCCTGTGATTCAGAAAAATTATTACCCACCCCTTGAAATAAGGAGTATTTGGTGATGATTGAGTAGTCGAATGAGTAAAATTTCACTAGAAGGCATAACCATTAGATATCAAATCGACTGTTCGCGCGAATCTCGATAGTTAGTCAATGTGTATTTGTTGAGTTCCGCAAACGTGTTTGTTTGTTGGCCCTATTTGGCTTTGTTGTCGGCCCATTGACGTTGTTATCGGCAAACACTCTAAAGACGTCAGTCACAGTCTGTATTTCCCCATAGCTGTTTCTCCCTCAATTGCAACTGCTTATTTGAGCTTATCAGCCGTGTAAATAATCGGACTTTGTCTATCATGGCTTCCAGGTAAAGGACATTTGCAACGAACTCGAGGTGCGCACTTTGTGCCACAAGATACTCCAGAATGTGTCCATTTTGCTGAATGCCGATCGAGGATCTCTGTTCCTGGTGCAAGGACGATGCAACGGACCCGATGGACTCAAAAAGTGAGTGTAATTCAAAATGAAAAATTATATAATAGGATAATTATTAAGTAAGAATTTCTGCAAAGTTCAATTTGGTAATAATTAGTTATTTTTGGACTTGAAAAGTATATAAATAACAATAATAATTAAATATAATATTGTTTTCCCTATATGTACATTAAAATAAGTGTTTAATTGCTGCCATATCATATTCCAAAAAATTTCTATTGAATTTAAATATAACTTTTTGTGATAACTTAAAGCGTCAATTTTCTGAATGCTTAAATTTTGTCTTAGTTTAAAAAGAGAACGGCGATAAAGACTTACATTTATCATAAACCATTATATTAGTCTAAAAATGGACTGGGACCAATGCATAAAGCAATCAGCCAAGTTACCCTCATCGTGCACTATTTTCAACAATTTGCTGATGACTCCATATAGCTGCATTTTTGTGGACATTGCGGATAGTGCTCCCCAGCAAAATCAGCTCAGCTTCAACTTTGTCTTGGCAACATTTTTTATGGCATTTATTTTTGGCATTTTATGAGTGCATTGCGTGGATGCTGCGACTCCTCACCTCCCTCCACCCACCCCACTCTCAGAAATTCGCCCCATAAATGCCATAACCCCGGCAGGAACCTGAATGTGGGGTCAGTGGGGCATGTCAGCCATTTTGTATGCATCGTATGACGCCATTCTGCTGCCAACACTAATTGCAATTGTCTGCACGCGCATTTGGCAAATGCATACTGTTGGGTAGAAACTTTTTAAAGCCAAGGAAAAGGAACAAAAAAGCAAGAAAAGCAGACAAGGCACTGAGAAACAAATGGTTTTAATGAGATTCAATAACCAAACTTTTAAGTAGGAAAATTAGATGAGTAAAAATAAACTTCATTGACTTATGAAAGCATATAATTTCAATAAATTATACCCAAACTTTGAGCCTTTAAGTAATTCGATTTCCAATAATATTTCGCTTAAACATATTTTATCGTTATTTATAAACAAATTAGTATTTGGAATGAAAATATATATAATTTATTACTTTTTTAATTAAATATAATTTGGCAGAAAATTAATTGTATATAAAATTAAGCTACAATAGTATTTAAGATAGCTCTGCTTTCCTCAGTGGAGTAGCAAAAAGTTTGCATTGTGTCCGATGACAATAGACGATAGTTGCCGCCTGAAACACAATTTATAATTTCCAACTTTGGACTCTCGTTCTTCCGCAGATGCCTCGTCTCGAAATTGTTCGACGTGTGCCCCCGGAGCACCGTGGAGGAGATGGAGCAGCAGGACGAAGTGCGGGTGGCCTGGGGCACAGGAATTGCCGGGCATGTGGCCGAAAGTGGGGAGCCCGTCAACATACCAGATGCTTACCAGGTCAGTACCAAAAACAAGTACTATCAGTGAGCGAAATTTGACAAATTTGAATGCCAACTGGGTCATAAATCAACCTCAGCTGTGAGAGTTGGAGATTATTCATTCGATTGCAAGATTTATGGTGGCAGATACCAGAACGATGTGTGTGCTTGTCTGTATATGTGGTGCTCTTTAAGTTTTCAATATTGCTCAGTGAACTCGGTGGCACCAGCACTTTTCACATTTTCCAGCTTCCGCCTGCCCACTCTCACATTCTCCCATTTTTTCGGCAGTTTTTCTTCGGCCTGTCTGCCAATTGGAGCGTAATTAATCTTATGCCAAGACAAGGCCGTGTTAGGCATGTTATATCACCAAGATATGGAGTCCCAATGCTTTTATACTTATTCTCTTTTTGCCCCGACTTAAAGCTGGTTGGCTAACGATAACAATTGCGGCTTCTTGAAATGTTTTCCTAAGTCATACTAAGCCAATGAGTGTAGATAAACTCCCGGCAAATACGTGACGCACAGACAGATCGCTTGTACTTGTGCCCCGTGGATCTCCTGATTGTTAGCACAATTAATCAAGGCCTAAATTTGACACTTGCCGTTAGCAGACAGCGCGACCAGCAGACAGAGAACCGAGCCCAAAACGCCGAAAGCCAGACGATTGCTGGTGCGAATGAGGCGCATTATGATTAGACACACCGGTTACGGTCGGGTGCAGATCTTTCAGTCGATCTCAGTGGACTTTTGACTCGGCTAAATAGCTACCCAAACAAATGTCAGTCGGCAGCGACAGTCCGAGGCGTCCGGAATTTGATAACACCCGATTTTTGGGGCGAGAAAGGCATGGATATCATGGGGAATGTGTGCCAAGTGGGACTAAAATAGAATGGTTAATAGGAGAAAGATTGATAGAAAATAAACCTTCGGTTGAACTTGATTATCAGTGATAATTTGGGGGGAATGGTAGACAAACTTTAAAAAAAATTGTGTCAAAATAAATGAAAATGAAAGAAGATTATACATTTATTCGATCAAATTTGTTTAAATTAAGAATGCATTAAAATAATCAAATTAAACGTTGTTAGAGACAACTGAAATAATCTTCAGGAAATCTTAAAAAATGCGATAAGGAAAAATCGAACAAGGAAGTGTTCAAACAATGAATAAAGGCTCACAAAGATTACGTTAACAACGAAAACTCATTTAAATGAGATACTAATTCGTGCGCAAATTAATTTAATTTCCCCCCATTTCCCCACAGGATGAGCGATTCAATTGTGAAATTGACTCGTTGACCGGCTATCGGACGAAGGCCTTGCTCTGCATGCCCATCAAGGATTCATCCGGGGATGTGATTGGCGTGGCGCAGGTCATCAACAAAATGAATGGCGAGTGCTTCTCCGAAATCGATGAAAAGGTGAGTGGTCCGGATGAGAATGAGGACGAGGACGTGGACGTGGATGGAGGGGTAAATGCGGAAGCGGGCGAATGGGGCCATGTGGAGATCGCATGACGGGGCAGTCTGATGGTTTCTTTTGTTCCGAATAAAGCCGCATAAGAGCTGCACCCACCCTGGCAAATTGCATTCATTATTCAACAAAGGGGAAACTTGTTAAGAAAGCTTAGCAAAATGTCAGGCAAAATGCCATCAGGGATTATCCGATGTGCGCCTGCCAGTGTGTGGCAGAACACTCATAATTTTATGCCATTTTGCAACCTCTATTTTTTGCCGTTTGAGTAATGTTAATCCTGTGCGGTAATCCCTCGCAGGTCTTTGCCTCGTATCTGCAGTTCTGCGGCATTGGACTGCGAAATGCGCAGCTGTACGAGAAATCTCAATTGGAAATCAAGCGGAATCAAGTGCTCCTGGATCTGGCCCGCATGATCTTCGAGGAGCAGAGCACCATCGAGCACATGGTCTTCCGCATCCTCACCCACATGCAGAGTCTCATCCAGTGCCAGAGGGTCCAAATCCTCCTGGTTCACGAGGCGGACAAGGGCAGCTTTTCGCGGGTCTTCGACTTCGAGGCGAATGACCTGAGTGAGGAGGAGGCCACCTCCCGCACCAGTCCCTACGAGTCGCGGTTCCCCATCAACATCGGGATCACCGGACATGTGGCCACCACCGGGGAAACCGTGAATGTGCCGAACGCCTACGAGGACGATCGATTCGATGCCAGTGTAGACGAGAGCTCCTGCTTCAAGCACCGCTCTATTCTGTGCATGGCCATCAAGAACTCCCTGGGACAGATCATTGGCGTTATCCAGCTGATCAACAAGTTTAATGAGTTGGTAAGTACTGATGATGTTTTTGGTAGCACATTAATCAAAAAAGAAAGGTATATGTATCCTTATTGAATATGTTAATAGTATTTGACTTAATTGTAAAATATTTTATGAGTTTTTGTTTTTTTTTATAAAAACCCTGGAAAAAATGATTCAATGTTGGAATGTCATACCTTGTGAAAAAATATCTACTCGAGTTTTTTAAATGTCATACTCCGATGAATTCAATTGACAATTCCCTAGGCCAATTTTTAATCTTTTTATTTCAAAGTAGGTTTCTACTAAGTAGATAAAGTAAATACTTTGTGTTTATATTTCAAGGACTCACAGTAATCTTATCATAACTATGCATAAACATAATTTGTTAATTTGTATACTACACATTTTAAACTGTTTTTATCTGCTCCCCCAGGACTTTACCAAGAACGACGAGAACTTCGTGGAGGCGTTCGCCATCTTCTGCGGCATGGGCATCCACAACACGCACATGTACGAGAAGGCCATCGTGGCGATGGCCAAGCAGAGTGTCACCCTGGAGGTGCTCAGCTACCACGCATCGGCCACCATGGACGAGGCACATCGTCTGCGGGTGAGTTCCACTCCATTCTTCATTCTCCATTCTCCATTCTCCATTCCGTATTCCCGTACTCTGTTCCGGATTAAAGTGCCCTCCCGGGTGCCGTGAAATGCTTAATTTTATTTGCACTCACTTAATTTGGTCGAGGCCAAGAGGTCGTCCACTACTTTGCTCTCTTAATTTTTACGCAGACCCATAAATTAATGTGTCCTGCCGGAGAACCACTTTGGGTGCTTCCCTGTTGCATTGTCTTCTGTGTTGGCTTCATGGTTTTTATTCGTTTATTATTTCTGTGTGACAGAAACAGCGGCAACAAGCTGTCGCTCCTAGCCACTAACCCCTGATCCACTGCTCAGAAAAAGCTTCAACGTGTTGACAGTTGTAATTAGTTTGTTCGCACAAGTATGACAAAAAGAAACTTTTCTACTGAATCGTGAGACTCCACCACGCTCGCTCTTCATCGCCGGACACTCTCTGTAATTATGCTGGGAAAATTATGACCGCCTGTCGAGTTGCCAGCCAGACAAAGATGCTGGGTTATTAATTTTAATTAAAATTATGCCATACTAGGCTTTATTCATACAACGAACGGAGGCGGAGGGACGATTATGGCATCAGGCTGGTAAACCCTTTTTCCTGGGGGGCTTTCCTCCGCACTCTTGTGGATGCCTTGGCGGAAAAATGTCAGAAATTTTGATAAACTTCTCGGCTTTGGTGGCTAATATAGCGCCATTTACATTTGCTGACAGCAAACAGATGAAGGTCCAGAGGGAGATTTGTATTTTTTGTTCCTTTTCTTGGGCATCTTGGTTTTAAACACGTGCTGGATTATTTTAAGGTGTGGAAAATAAGTGGTTCTTGGCAAAAAAGTTTTACAAATGTTGGATGATTGTCTGCATTTAAAAAGTTAAACATTTTTATTGTTTAGTTATTAAATTTGGTTCCCATTTTTAAACCGAAAAATAATTGACAATGAACTATTTAATCACTATAGATAGATTGGACTTAAAATTTTAGACAATTGTAAATGTGTTAAATTAAAAAATATAATAAACTGATGGGTTTTTTAGAACGATCGTTTTTATATTCTTATTATTTTTAGAATTCTGTTCATAAAGGTTTTAATGTAATAATGATATGATTATGTCGTTGAATGTTTCTTACAATATTTAAAATAAATTATTTATTTTTAGCGTCTTCGAGTACCTTCAGCTGTTCATTTCCGACTGCACGACTTCAAGTTCGATGACATTCACTTTGAAGATGATGATACATTAAAGGTAAAATTGGCTATTAGTCCCCAGTATTGAGAATAATTACAAATCTTTTTTTAGGCCTGCCTGCGCATGTTTTTGGATCTCGACTTTGTGGAACGTTTTCATATTGACTATGAAGTTTTATGCCGTTGGCTGTTGAGCGTCAAGAAAAACTATCGCAATGTTACCTATCACAATTGGCGACATGCCTTCAATGTGGCCCAAATGATGTTTGCCATTCTAACTGTGAGTAGAAGAGTTCAATTTGTATGTAAAATCTTAAATTTTTAATTATCTTCTTTGTATATTTTAAAGACCACGCAATGGTGGAAGATCTTTGGTGAAATCGAATGCTTGGCGCTTATTATTGGCTGTCTTTGTCATGATCTCGATCATCGAGGGACTAATAACTCCTTCCAGATTAAGTAAGTCAGACAACATAAAGCTAATTGTAAAAAATCTTAACTGAATATTGTATTTTTTAGAGCCTCTTCGCCTTTGGCGCAGCTTTATTCAACCTCCACCATGGAGCATCATCACTTCGATCAGTGTCTGATGATCTTGAATAGTCCTGGAAATCAAATCCTTGCTAATCTGTCCTCCGATGACTATTGTCGAGTAATCAGAGTGTTGGAAGATGCCATTTTGTCCACTGATTTGGCAGTGTATTTCAAGTGAGTTTAACTGGAATGTCTAGTTTTTGAGTCCGTTTATAAATCCTTGATTTTTTTAAACAGGAAACGAGGTCCTTTCTTGGAAAGTGTGGAACAGCCGGTGAGCCATTGGGTGGCCGAGGAGCCGCGCGCCTTGTTGCGTGCCATGAGCATGACTGTCTGTGATTTGTCGGCCATCACGAAGCCGTGGGAGATCGAGAAGCGTGTGGCCGATTTGGTTAGCTCGGAGTTCTTCGAGCAGGGCGACATGGAGAAGCAGGAGCTCAACATAACTCCTATTGTGAGTTAACAAAGTTTAATTGAGAATTTTATAATTTAGGGAATATTTTTTCTTTCTAGGACATCATGAATCGCGAGAAAGAGGATGAGCTGCCCATGATGCAAGTGAACTTTATTGACTCCATTTGCTTGCCCATCTATGAGGTTTGTATAAGCTAACTTTTATGATGTTTTGTTAAGCATAATAATAATAATATAATGTTTATTTGCCAGGCCTTTGCCACCCTCTCCGACAAGCTGGAGCCTCTTGTCGAGGGCGTGCGCGATAATCGCGGCCATTGGATCGATCTGGCCGATGTGGTAAAAACCAAAACTAGTCAGGATCAGGAGCCCGAAGAGGAGCAGCAGAAAAATGTGATATCGAACGGTGACTGCAAGGCGATGAGTGATGATGATGTTACTGTGCCGGAAGCGGAAGTGGAAGTGCCAGCGGAGCAAGCAAGCGTAAATGGCCCCAACGATGCCAGCAACAGCAGCATCACTAATAAGAACATTGCCGTCGCTTCTCATCCTACCAGCACCCAGCCCAGTGATGATGATGATGATGCGAATGTGGAGGAGCAGTCTGCCGAGGCGAATGGTCACGATGCCGAAGTGGAGGAGGCCTCCTGCAGCTCCAGCTCCAGTTCCAGCTCATCGACCGCCTCCAGTCGCCTGTCCACGCCCCCGCCCACCGGCGAGGATGACAGCACACCAGTATCGCCCTCGAAAACAGGCCTGCAGGCCAAACTGGTGGCGGCCAATTTGAGTGCATTGCAAAGGCCGACCTCCAACCAGGTGGTGGCGAATCAGAAGCAGCGCTGCAAGAGCTGCGACCATTCCCGCAGCGGGCTGCAGGTGAGGAAGACCAGTTCCCTGCGTGGCGCCCAGGAACTGGAGATGGATAGTAAGGCTAAGAATGGAACAAAAGCTGCTCTCTGCAAAAGCACGCCCGTGATCAACAACCACAGCCATCATCATAGTCACAATCAGAATCACAGCCACAACCACCACCACCATCATCATCATCATCACTCGCATCACAATCACGGCCAGCATGGGATCGGGATTGGCAGTGCCAGCATCGGCGGCAGTGGGTTAATCAGCCTGGCCACACCTTTGCTGGCGGCGGACAGTGATAGGATACCAAAAATCGTGGGAAAAATTGGAAATCTCGATGGTCTGCCTCTGGCTCTGCCCTTTGCCAATGGCATTGGAGGACCAGGCCCACAAAATGGTCACGGCTTGCCCTTTGGCAGCTACCATCATCATCATCACCATCATCATCTCCTGGCGCGTCGTCATTCGGAGACAAACAGCAATGGGGCCACCGCTGTGGCGGCTGATAAATAAATACATCCCAATCTGGTGTGTTCCGAGAAAGTCAGAAACAGATAAAGGATTTTGAATTTAAACTGAAAACTTTAAAACCATATTTACAAAGTTTAAAAGTATGCAAGAACTTATTTTAGGCGCTTACTTTTAGAGGCACTTGTATTGGTTTTTAATATCTTAAAGTGTTTTCTGGATCTGAATCACACTAGCATATCTTCAATATGTACATAGTTCTATCCATATCACCCAAATCGCAACACACAACCAATCACTCTCATCTTGTATATAACATCCACTTTGAGCAACAGTATCGCAGTGCAGTAGGAAAGGATAGTGAGGAAAAAAACACATACCATAAGCAAATTGTGGCACAGCAATTTGATAGCCTACAACTAAAACTAAATAGAAAGATTCCTATAAACGTATGTAAATCGTATATATACTTATGTATGTGTATATTTTGATCTGTGTGTGTTTGTAACTTAAATTTTAGTTCGTACCATCAGCGTTAGTTAATGATAAAGCAAAGAAGTCAAATTCTCTAGATGTTTAAGCACCAACCAACAAAACAAAACAAAAGAAAAATTGTACCAAAAAAAAAATGGCAGAGTAGTGGATTCTCTAATTGTCGTTTGCTTGCAAGTAACGCTCATCTTCTATGGAACACAGCAAGGATAAAAGTATTGTAATGTCCCGAAACACATACATATACGAGTACGATAACACTGTATAACTGTAAACGTTAGTTGAATTATCTCTATGGGTACCAAAAGTCAAACTTTAGTAGCATTAACCAACCGCTTAGTGATGATGTTAGCTGTCGAGTAACAAAAAAAAACCGAACCGATCGCGAACCTAGACTATAATAACCACCCTTAATACAACCGAAACCCGAAAACCGAAACCAGAAAACAAAACAAACACTAAGCGCTTTGATTTTCCCTAATCTCTGCGCTCTTTTCGAATTTAAATAATTGTAATATGGGATAATAAGAAATGTATTTGTATCTACATATATGTACTCGATGGCCTCAATGGGCTGGCCTAATATGCAAAACCCAGACCATCTTGGCAGCATCTGTCCCAGGGTCATCAGCACGTAAAACGTTCTTTTGACCCTGGGACCAACTGCTCGTACATATTCTGCAGTTGCGTCTATATAAATCCATATAATCCTTTTTTAGATTAAATTGTACTTTGTGAGTTTTGTTATTTATTATCGGCATTATAGAGAAACCTATCGAAAATACACAAAATATTTGCTGTAACGGACCATGTTCAATAAGGCAAAACTAAATAAAGCAACATAATATCTATTAACTGTGTTTCATTGTAAAATAAAACGTATCCTTGAACAACATCCCATTTAATGATCTTATTCACACAAGATTCCAATTTTAGAAGATTATTTTAGTGGTAAAGTAGCATCTCTCCTCTGAACAACATCCAACCTTTCCATTTGGGATAATTCTGTGATGCTCTGTTATGAACATCCTGAGACCTTTTTAATAAATAAACAACTAGTGGCAATTATTTTACTCACAATAAGTGTTTATTATAATTTGTTAATAGTTATAGTGTAATTTTAATTAGGAGATAACTAGGACACTGCGAATAGCGAATGTCAGATGATGGGGCCGAGTGTTTTTTGTATCTTACGACGTAAGAACTGGCGAGTATATGTATATAGATCTCGCTTATGCATTGGACAAGTCTTTAGGTAAGCAAGCAACAAAGAAACTTATGTACAAACGCAAAAGTTATTTACAAAATGCGTTAATATAAATCGCATCTGCCTTCTTCTCCGCTCTCAAAATTTAATCGTTTCCTTCATTTTAAAGGGAAGCAATGAAGGGCGTTAGGTCGGGGAACTTGAAGAGATTCTGGTTGCGGGATCGGGTCACACGTGGCTGAGCCTGACCCTGTCGCTGTTGGGGATTGAAGCCGCTGGCCTGCTGGCCGGTCAAGTAGATGCCGCACTGCGAGTTGCACACCTCGTCGCGCAGAATGGCCTCCTTGGGCCACTGGCGGATCAACTGGCCGCAGTCGGTGATGCGCAGCGAGGCACACTGGGCCTAAAACAGAAAATACATATTTAGAACACATATAATTTCAAAGACTATTTGGTGACTTACCCCTTCGGCGGAGCAAACGCAGCTGGTGCAGGGCGATGGGAAGGCGGACTCGCCAACGCGGACATTGCGGTTGCCAATCTGACAGCCCTGGACATTCTCGCGCCAGGCGTTCAAGTCAATCTGGGCCATCGAGGAGCAGGGCACACGTGGATTTCTATAAAATGGAGTTAAGAAAAATAATCAATAAATAAATACAAATAGAAAAGTCGGACATTCTGTTATCCAATTTCAAAAATATTATACACCCAACAGATGGATATATATGCAATTGTAGCTAAAAAGATGTAATCTGCTAGAGCAGACGATATTGACTAATAACTTCTGAATTACTTTTTTGAATACTTAAATGATTATCAAAAGAACGAATTTAGGACAATTTAGGACAATAAATCAAGAAACTTACAGGAAATTGCTGGGCAAATCAAAAGCAGCGCGCTGCATATCTCCGGTGATCTCCAGGTTCTCGCAAACGATCTTGGCCAGCGTCACCTTGCGGATCTCAGCCAGCTGAGCCTCGGTGAACTTGACCTCCGAATTCTGGTTCTCATACCAGAAGCGATCGCACTTGCGCAGCTGCCTGAACTGGATGCCAATGATGCAGGCCAAAGTGGGTCCAACCAGACCTCCCTGAAGAGGACGCTCAGTCATCGCGCCGGGGAACAGATCAATGTCATCGACGCTGGCGTAGACCTTCTGGAAGCGGTTGATCACCTCGGTGGGAATCTCACGGCTCAAATCGTTCCAGTTGGTGGCACGTTTCAGGTTACAAAGGGCACGGTAGTTGTTGTACGAGGGGATTCCATGGTCACGAGCTAAGGAAAACGGGTATATGGTTATAAATATAATACTGATAAATCTATAAAGCTTAAAAATACTAACCTCTCTGGATATTCAAGGCAATCAAATCAATGCCTGAGAAGGGAATCTTGCGGTCCTCGAACAGATGGTTGGTCACCTCGCCGGTGATGAACTGATCCAAAGTCTCCATGGGAGTGGCCACCAGACCACGCAGGATTTCGTCAATGATTCCCGGCTGCAACAGGGCGTCAATGCGGAAGAAACCATCGCGAAGGAGTAGTGGTGGCTCCACGGGCTGATGCTGGACACTCAAACGGGGAATGTGGGGACGCAGCAGGGAGTGGCCAATGCGGAAGGCAGCGGCAGCAAACTCATTGAACACAATCGGCGAGCATGATGGGTTGTAGTCCTTGTAGTATCCCTGGGGCAGGAGCTTCAGGCCATACAAATTGACGGCATTCCAGCTGAGAATGCGGGGCAGGAACTCATTGAAGACGGTATGTTGCACCTGGGCACTGACAATTTTCCGGGCATGGTGGAAGAGCTGTTCGCCATTCCAGTGGGGATTCACTCCGCGCAGACCCTCGACAATCCGGTTGTGTTCGCGCAGGAAGGCGGTGTGGATGGCGCTCAGACCTGGCTGCTCGGAGGCACGATCATCGCCACCGTAGAAGCAGAGGCCGTTGCGGGATTTGCACTCGGGATGGGGATCCAGCGGCAGCAGTTCCTTGCCCCTCACTTGGGTGCTGTTCATGCGGCCAGAGAATCCTCGCAGCTTGGCGGACAGGCAATTGGTCTCGCCATAAATCATAGATCCATCCAGGAAGTGAGTGTTCTGGTTGATCTGGTCACGAGGTCCCAGCGACTGCTGTCCGGGCAGCGATCTCATCGAGGGGAAGCAGAAGCGCTCGCCACTGGTCACATTCACCTCCGGATAGTAGAAGTCGCCGGCTGGCACCGGGAAGGGATTGCATTCGGGATGCACTGTCTGCCGGGAGTTGCAGGGTCGGCAACTGGGGATCGACTCGTGGAATCCCTTGTGAATCGGTGTCAAAGTCAGATCGTGATCGACAAACTGGGCGAACTGCATCACCATCAGGGAGTAGCGAGTGTGCAGATTGGAAATATCAGGATGGATTGTGGTGGAAATAGTTCTGGGATTGGGCAACTGGGTGCCAGTCACGCCAGTGACCCTGGGTGCCGAGATCCCATCCTCATACTGAGCGGGCAGCAGGCGGGAGAAAGTGGTCAGCGACTTGCCCCAGTTGGGATTGCGCAGATTGTTGCACCTGCCAGACAAAGTACGGAATGGCGAGTTGGCATCGCACTGCTGATTGGGTTCCGGGCATCCATCCTCCGGCTTCGGCCCTCCACCAAGCAGTCCACTGATGTCCACCGTTTGCAGGGTATCAGTCAGTTCGTTGCGATTAAAGGCATTTTGATTGGGGTTAAAGATCTGACGCTTGCGCCTCGTAATATGGTTGAGGGTCTTCACAATCTCGTTGGAGGTCAGCTCGAAGATCAGCGAGGAGTTGGCCAGGTTGAGGGCGGCCAGATTGGCCTTGCTGAAGGAGGCGGCTGTGCCATCGGGAGAACGGGCACTGATGCCACCCTCTGGGAAAGGGAAAGGAAGTTTTTAAAATTAGTTATGATCTCAGGTGCTTGTAAATCCTTTAAAACTTACTGGTACGCCACACTTCATACTCGAAACGCTTGCGTTCTTCCAGTTCCTGCTTGGCCCGCTCCACTGCAGCCTCGATCAGTTCGGGACTCAGCTCGGCAATGGCATCCTTGGTACCTGGTTCCACTTCCACATGCTCCACATGTACCTCATCCTCGGGGTTCACTTGCCACGGCTTCAGATCAAACTTGGGCAGCTGGTCGCAGTCCAAAATTGAGTTCCTATAGGAGAGTTACTGCTGTAGAGCTTCTGGTTTTCAAACTGCAATCGATGGCTACTCACAGGTAGTTGTCCTCCAGAATAAAAGCCTTGGACTGGGCTGTGCTCACTTGATGGGAACCACAGAGCAGACCAGACAGCGAGGTCTGCCGAATGCTCTTCAGCTGTTCCAAAGTGAAGGATGAGGGCGGGATCTCGTTCTCGTACCAGAAACGATCCGTCTGCTTCAGTTGCTCGAATTGCAGGGTCAGCAGGCAGCTGATTGTGGGTCCAAAGAGCGCTCCAACCACGGGTTCTTCCAACAGGGCACCCACCAACAGATCAATGTCCTCAGTGTTTCTGAAGGGTAAATATTGAATATTAAATTATTTTATAATATGGCTTATCAGGAAACAAATTTTGATTGAGCAACATTTTCTAATTAACATTTAACTTGTAAATAAAATTATTAAAACAAAAAAAACAATTTATTAAGATGTGAAACAAGAAATTAATTTATAATTTTGACGTTAAATAAAGCAATCAATTTGTGTATGCAGAATATGTAAATAAAGTATGCCTGTTTCGGCCATATATTGCTTAAATCTGAACATAAAAAAACTGATACGAATTCGAATTTGGCTTTTAAGTTATAAACAAAAAAGCCTGATTTAAGTGCATCAAAAAACCGTAACGAACCGGTATTTAAAAGGTTCAACTCAAAATGGAGTTTGATCATTTCAAGGTGCCATAAAACTCACTGGTAAATGTCACGCAGATTGGTGATGTACTCCTCGGGAATGTTGGACACCTGGGCCAGAGAATCGAAAGTCACATTGGCACCACTCTGATCGGCAAAGCGACGCTCGCAGAGATCCAGGGCATGGACATAGGAGGCCACTCCGTGGTCACGTCCACGATGAACGGCCAAAGCCAACTCGGACCAACCCTCGGCATTCGTTTGACTCGGAACCAGTGACTTCTGCAGGGCGGCAATGGACAACAGCTCGTGGGCGGACATCTTCTTGGCCAGCATCTCTGGGGGATACATGCTCCAGAAGGCGGGCATGGCGGCGGTGGCGAACTCATTGTAGATTCCACCCCTCACCGAGCTGGAATAGTTGCTCGAGTGCTTCTCGGCCGTCAGTCTCAGACCCGCCTTGGCGGTGGTCTCCTGTCCCAGAACCAGAGGCAAGAACTCGTTGTAGGTGATGTGCTGAATGGTGGCCGTTATGATGCGCCTGGCCTCCAGGAACACATCCTCTTCGGACCAATCGGGATTCGTGTGCGACAATCGCTCGCCAATGTTGTTGTGCTGCTGCAGCAGGGCACGATGCAGGGCTCCAGTGGCGCCGGCCACCTGGCAGTACTTGCAGGACTCCACCTTCACGCCACCACTGATGTAGGTGCGCAGCTGGTCGAATTTATGGCGAGTGGAGCCATACAATCCGGAGCCATCGATGTAGGCCGAGGCAATGTTCATCTGCTGGCGAGTGTCTATAAC